TTCGAACCCGCCACCTTAGGTGTATGTGGCTGGCGCCTTAGCCGCTTGAGCCACAGGCGCCGCGCCTCAAATTCTACTTCTGTTCTTATGGGAGCTACTTGTCTCTTGGGGACTCAGTTTCTTCCTCAGTACGATGAGGATTGTTGTAATATCTACCTTCAGGGTTGTTCTGAGTTTTCTGTAAGTTAATACATATGTAATAATATGTATATAGAACCAGCAGCAGGGTCTGGCATCAAGGATGTCTTCCATAAATGTTAGTTATCATGGCTATGACCATTGTGTGTCTACAAAAACAACATTTTGATTCCCCATTTAATCTGTCATCCCAGGGGGCCAGGACAGGTTGCCATAAGGGATCAATAGTGGGAACAGAGGGAATGATTAGGACTCCTTTCTGAAACTCCCACTCTTGCAAATAGTAGCCATAGCTCTGTGCTGAAACTTTTCACCAGTAGCCTTTTTAAGCACAGCTGTTTTTAGCAGCTGAGAATGTGGAGAGTTAAGAATGTTCCAGAGGTGCTCTAGCCTCAGCTTTGCTGAGTCATCCCACTGTATGGGGTTATTTGGGCATCTCACTGGGCTCCTTCCTATACCATGTAAAAGAACGGTTGTGCACCTGTAACTGGTAAGGAGCTGTCATCCCAAGCCTGTTCTCTATCTTCTTGGCATGAGGAAGATGGACTGTGTTTGGTTGATGGCATACTGTTGGCAATAAAGATATCTCAGGTTTTCTAGCTAAGAAATACAGAATTTCATACAACTGGCACCACATATTTATTTCACAAGCACTTTCAGAACACTTTGTGATGGGGATGGTAGTAATTTCATAGTACCAATAGTTAGGTACTCTTTTAATCCCATTTTACACATGAGGCAATTACCCAGATAGGGAAGTGACAAGGCCCAGTCTCAAGTCGAAAGCATCTGATTAGGGTCTGGTATCAGCTGAAGGTCTCTAGGAAAACAGAACCAATAGGATTGGCTTATGTCCATATCAGGTACTGGCTTTTCCAATTTCAGCAGGGCAGGCTGGAAACTCCCAGGCTGGAGCTTATGGTGCCGTCTCAAGCTGGAATTTCTTCTTTCTCTGGGAAACCTCAGTTTTCTTTTTCATGCCTTTTAATTGATTGCATGAAGGTCACTCCCATTGTCAAGGAAAATCTCCTTTATTTAAAGTCAACTGATTGTAGGTGTTAACCACATCTTCACAGCAAGGCTTACATGAACACTGTATACTGTACCCTAGCCAAGGTGACAAAACAAAACCAAAACTAACCATCACAGGATCCATGCCTTTAAACATTATCCTAAGCTGAGAACTTTATGAGTTGGGTGTAAGATTTACAATAAACTAAAGAATTTGGCGGTGGGCTATCCTGTTACAAAATGGTTTGCCTTACCTTGTTTAAATAGAATTTGGACCTCTTTTTTCATCTGTGTAGCTTCTAGTACACAGTTCCCAGTTATTCCCAGTAAACATTCAACAGGTAATATTGGAAGGATGGCTGACTAAATCATTTTAGATTACACATACCATTTTATAGAATTTTCCAGCCACTGAGACCTCTGGCTTCACATTTAAATTTAGAGTTATCTGGCCCA